GAACTCAGTAGGTTCCCGCTCAAACTCCAGAGCTCCCCAGCCCCAGACATTAAGAGGTAATGTCACTACTTCTCAATAAATAACAATGAAACAGTCGCTGGATTAAACGATTTCCGTACATTATCACCATAAACAATAATTATTTGGCAGCTGCCCTTTGTGCGTGTGGCAAGTACTCATGAATAAATCAGGACTTATTGATTTACTAAACCATAACGTTTTACATTTTGCTCCACTAATAAGAGCCGTAATCCTCTGCGGCACTTAGCGACGCTTTAATGTAGTGTGTTCCTTAATACTTTTAATATGAAAGATTAGTACCGATTAGCTCACGCACAGAACATCGCTCTGTAAACGGCCAGTTGGCTGCTGAGTCCCGGTCTCTCTCTAAACGCATCCTTATTAATGGAGCTCGCTGACAGCTGATGGGAACTGAATTGGGGTGACCTCTCCTAAGCTCAGGACATGCTGTTTTCCCCTCCTCATGACATTTAATGGAAGGAGGATGGCTCACGTTAATTCAAAGCCTAAATTAATTGTCAACAGCAAGGCAGGGAAATATGGGACCGTACAGAGTTCTGTGTGCACTGGAAAGCTATCACCTGTAATGATGCAATCAATTGCTTTGAATGCAGTCCTTGAGTTCAGAAGACTGAGGACGGCTTTGGACACCCCCCAAAACGTCCTCAAAGATCTTGAGTTCAGAGAGCCAAGTCTGACAAGAGACGACACCCTCTCCCTCCTCCCATGACAACGGGGAAAATGTCCTAACACTGCCGGGTTGCCATCCACAACCAGCAGACTTCACTCAGTTGAGAACTAAACACTCTCAGTTCTCTGGGGTCCAACTGGGAAACAGAGTCTACAATATGTCACGGGGGGAATCCTGCCCAGGCACTCACAGTAATTTTCTCATCTAGTGACTTCTCCCCATTCCACTATCTCCAACAGTGATGCAGAAAGTTCAGGCTTAGGACAGACTCCAGGCTCGACTTCACCGACCCCAGTTCCAAGCATTAAATAGGAAAGCAGGTACCCACACCCTTCTTCCTTCCCAGGGATCACAAACCAAGGCATTTCAGACAGCAGAACTATTTAGCCACTGTATATTACAAAGACAGAAACGCCAAGAGGGAACTTCCCCCGACTCACGCTACTGGCCAAGGCAGGGTCTCAAATCTCTGGCTCCAACCTCAGGCCCTTCCTCTACACCACACTGACTCCTGGGGTCAGTAAGGAAATCTCTCGCACACCAAGGAATCTCCCAAACAGAAACATTGTGCATCACAGATTGCTCTAACTCCTGATAATACTGTGCGATGCCTTTCAAGTTTAACCACAACAAAGATAGTCCAGGGCTAGCTGCAGAATTTACAATGATATTAGCTCTCTAAGTCAGAAAACAACACCAAAAAGATTGCTTGCTCAAAAAATAGATCTGACTGTTCCCTCTGGAACCACTGCTGCCTCTGGTTACAAAGCAATAATTATTCTGTCCTACAGCAATCAATAAAACCTCTTGCCCCATGAACCTGCTATTTCCTGACTTTGTTCTCTATACTACTGGTTTCTAAGCTATATTGATTTACCTACTAAATTTTGTTGAAGTTCTTAAAAAAAAAATCACTGAAGAAATCCTCAAATTAGCATAACTTGTTACTGTTGGAACAGACATTAAATCTTTCAGTTACATTCACGGTTTCCCTTTTTTCAGGGTTTTCCCATTTTTCATCTTGAACTTGTCATTTTAAGTGTGGCTGTGTCTTGGCTAATAGCACATAGTCAATAAGATACAAATCTGATGGTGTTTCTGAAACCGTGACTGCTGCCACATTTCTCTTCCAAGCAAGAAAGAATTGATTAATAAACTTGGCCCTCTTAGCAACAGCATGGCTTTCTAGCAAATGAACCCATTAGCTCTTAAAGTGTGAGAGTCACTGCCCCAGAACTTCTCGCTAAAACTATTCACTAGAGAAGCTACGAAAAGTAAAACCGGCTCGGCGCCTATAGCTCAACCGGCTAAGGTGCCAGCCACGTACACCTAAGGTGGCGGGTTCAAATCCCCAGCCCAACCCGCCAAACAACAATGACGGCTGCAACCAAAAAATAGCCGGGCGTTGTGGCGGG